TTCTATTTTCTAAGGTCGACTCCGCTCAATTGCAGCCTTTTCAAAACATTCTCTGTCAGTGTTTGACACACCAGGAACACGCTGGGTAGAGCTTCACAAGCAGGCAACAAGCAGAGCGGATATGAGGTTGCTTGTTATTGGAATCCCTCCATCAACTGAAGATTAATTCTTTTAGGGACCCGAGTCAGTGTGCAAATACCAGTTGAAAATGGGTTTTCATTTATTCAAAGGGATTGTCAATCTATTGTAAAAGATGCCCTGTCTCTTTGAACGCCATACATTTACACACCCTGCAGAGCTATCAAAAGGCTTCCTAAAAATATACGCATGCATTAAAACCAGGGAAACACAGAGTTGCGTCAATAGCTGAAATGCTTGGCCACAACACCAAGATGAAAAAATCGAAACAAAACCAGGACCTGAAATGCTACGTAGATGGGGCTGTGGTGGGGATGAGGCAGATCAGGTGCCCTCTCCCAGCAGAAGCAGGAGGAAGTAATATATTGTGTGCCCCAAACAGAGCTGATTAGAATAGGGTTGAAGTTATTTCTTATGGGGCACACTTGGAGGTGGACAGGGTCTTACAAGGGTTCTCCAATCTCACATGAGGAACAGAGGTTCTGCTCTGGCTACTTCAGAAGACCCGTGTAAAACCAATAACAGCCCCAGAAGCAAGCCTGATTTTGAAAAATGCTATCAGCAAGTATAAAATCATATGATCCCTTGAGGTTTAAAGGCACCTTGCTTTCTGTCCTTCCTTCTCCTACTGGGCCTTCTCTCTGCCTGCCCCCAGTCAGACACCCTGTAAGTCTATTTCCACTTCCTAACACCCTTGTCCTACTAATCCCCTCTAAGATCCCCCCTTCCCCATGGCTCCTTTACCCTCTCTGGGGTTCCAGGGTATTTACTCATAGTTGAGGAATTGGAGCTTGCATGGTACTGCAGACGAGAGAAAATGTGGTGTTCATCATTCTTAGTCTCGGTAACCTCATTCAATACAATCATTTCTAGTTTCACCCATTTATATGATTCTTCCTTACAGTTGAATAATATTCCATTATGTACATGTTCCGCATGTTCACTGTCTGCTCATATGTTGGCGGACATTAGAGAGTTTCCGTTTCTCTGCTGCACAGAGAGCAGCAATGGGCATGACTAGGCGTGCATCTGTGGGGTATGATGTAGAGTCCTTTGGGCACATGCCAGGGAGTGGTACAGCCGGGTCATGTGCGATGTGGAGTCCTTTGGGCACATGCCAGGGAGTGGTACAGCTGGGTCATGTGTGATGTGGAGTCCTTTGGGCACATGCCAGGGAGTGGTACAGCCGGGGCAGTGGTGATTTTCCTTTTGGCATGTAGAGGATTCTCTGCACTGATTTTTATAGTGGCTGCACCAGTTATTCTTTCAGTGAAGAAGTGAACGGTGGGTAAGGGTTCTCCCTTTTCCCATATCCATTTGCTGTCAGCTGTTTTGTGACTTCAATCATTCTGGGTTTGGGTGCCATTTGCTCTCCTCTGATGGGTAAGGATGATGACGACCTCTTCATGTAGTTCTCAGACATTTTTCTTTCTTCTGTGTTTAGATCCCTAGTCCATATTTTTTTTTTTAAAATTTGGGTCATTTGTTTACTCTTTGTGTGTGTGGGTGTGGGTGTTTGTGTTTGTATATGCAGGATTGTCAACCCTCTGTCCGATGTGTAGCCAGCAAGGATTCTCTCCCATTCTGTGGGATTCTCGTCACTCAACTGATTTCTTCCTTAGTGGCACAGAAGTCTTTTAGTTATATAAAGTGCCAAGTGTTGGTTGTTGGCCTAAATTTCTTGGTACATCGTGTCCTGCTCACAAAGCCCCCTTTACACCTATATCTTGTAGGCGCTGCCTACAAAATGGATTTTTTCTAGCACTTTTGGTGTTTGGGGTTTCAAATAGAAGTCTTTGTTCTAATTGAATCCAATTTTTGTGAAGAAAGACAGACATGGGTCTAATTTCATTCTTCTTCCCGTGGCCAGTTTCACTGGCTCCATTTATTGAATATCCTGTCTTCCTTCCTTCCTTCCTTCCTTCCTTCCTCCCTCCCTCCCTCCCTCCCTCCCTCCCTCCCTTTCCTTTCCTTTCCTTTCCTTTCCTTTCCTTTCCTTTCCTTTCCTTTCCTTTCCTTTCCTTTCCTTTCCTTTCCTTCATTCCCCCTTCCTCTCTCTGATACTTTGTCAAGTATCAGATGGCCATAGTTATGAGTATTTATGTTTGGGTGTTCTGTTGTCTTCCACTGACTTATATCTCTCTCTTTGGATTGGTACCATATTGATTTTTTTTTTTTTACCTATTCCTTGATTTTTTTATTATTTATTTTTTTTAAAGATTTCTGTCTCCTCCCTGTCACCGTCTCCCATTTCTCTCCCCCTCCCCCAATCAACTTCCCCTTTCATCAGCCAGAAGAGCAGTCAGGGTTCCCTGCCCTGTGGGGAGTCCAAGGACCTCCCACCTCCTTCCAGGTCTAGTAAGGTGAACATCCAAACAGCCTAGGCTCCCACAAAGCCAGTACGTGCAGTGAGTACCATACTGATCTTATTATTAGAGTTCTCTAATATTTCTTGAATTCTGGAAAAGCAATCCCTCCAGCATTATTCTTTTTTGTTAAAGATTGCTTTGGCAATATAGGACCCTTTCTGCTTCCATAAGAACTTTAGAATTTTTTTTTTCTATCTCTGAAGAATGTTGTGGGTGCTTTGGTCAGGACTGCATTCAATCTGTACACTGTTTTAGTTGGGATGGTCATAATACTAATTCCACTGAGCCATGAACCCATGATGTCTTTCCATTTTCTAGTTTTGAGCAGCTGGTCAGGGTAGTCTAAGTCACTCCCAAAATAATGCAGATTTTCAGCGTCATCTCTACCTCTCAGCGAATGAGGGTGGGGCCCCATTGCAAAGACACCACACACTTAGGGTATATGAATTGGCTGACTCCAGCTGGATCTGACTTCAAAGCTCCTTTCCTGTGGTCTACCCTTTATGGTTCCAGAAAATACTATGTAAGGTGCAAAGAGAGAGAAACAAGCAGTTCTACCAGGTGTGACACCTAGGAACCATAATGATCACCGGCATGGCTAGATATTTTTAGAGGTGCAAGACTTGGCACTTAAAAGTCAGCAGCAAGCAACAGCTGTCTAAATGGACTTAGGGCCCATTCAATAGGAGAGAAACCATGCCTGGTACTAGACACTTGCCAGTTTCTCAGTCTACTGAGGTGATTTAGAGAATTCACTGTCACCATTTTGTAAGTGCAATGCAATTCCTTACCACATTCTAAATCTTATCCTTATACCCAGAGAGGAGTAGCTACCACCTCCCATCACAGAAGCCTTTCATTATACAGCTAGTATTATCCGCATCACAGATAAGCATGAAAACAGGTGCAACTGTCAGAGGTCACTGACGTCATGGGACTCAGGAGACAGCTCCATGCTGAAGTGTTTGGCACACAAGCATGAGGACCCATGTTCAGTCCCTGCACCCACTTAAAAACCAGGCATGGGAAAGGGTCCTTGTAATCCCAGAGATAGGGAGGTGGAGACAGAGATATCTGTGACTCTCTGGTCAGCCAGCCTGGCCTAATTGGCGAGACCCAGGTCCCGGTGAGAGGTATTGTCTCAAAACTCAAGATGCACGATTTCTGAGGAAGGATATCCTCAACTGATTCCACATGCACACATACATACACCTGTGTGCACGAACAAACTACACATACACAACTGCGTACACACATACACGCAACTGTGTAAAATACAAACACACACACAACTGAATACACAAGCAACTGTACACAATACAACTGCATACACACAACTGTACACACACAACTATATACATATACAACTATATACGCAACTGTTCATAGCACTAGATGTATAAACATAACTGTACACACCGTGTACATACTCAACTGTACACATTGCTGTATATATACACACAACTGTATATACATACAACTGTACACACAGACAATTGCATACAACTATATAGACAGCGGCATACACACACAACTGCACATATACACAATTGCGTACACATAGCTAACTATACACACAGCTGTACACAGACACATTAGATTTGAGATCCAAGTCTTACTATGACAGTAAATCCCATGACAGCACCCACTGGCCTTTGAAAACTTAGGAGAGAAATGAAGCGCCAGTACTGTCCTCTTACCTGACACTGTCTAAAGTATTACGTCAATGTATCAAACTCCATGGGCTCACCTCTCTGCACACAATTCAATATAAGGCTTCCTGCTCACTGTGGAAGAGCTCACTGTGAGATCGCCATAAGGATTTCCTTCCTCCCAGACAGTCACCACTCAGAAACAACTCTGACTTGTAAGAGATTCTTCTTTCTAGCCATCATAAAATGTTACGTCTTGTTGTCCATCAACCTTAGTCTATGCAGCTTGCAAAGCAGCTTTGGCAACAACCAAGACTTTGCAATCCAAGAACCCAAAGACTAAACACAGTCCACCAATAATTCTTTATGATGTCAACAGGCTCCTGGTCACTAGCCAGCAGCCATACCTCACATACCCATCAATAGAAACAGCTTCCAAGCTCTCTGGGAGAATCTGTCATTTCCCAGCATTGCCCTTAGGTGATGAGGACATTAGGTAGAAACAGAAAGCAGAGGGGATGGAAGAAGTGTCTGACCCATTAGCAGACATCATTAAAGTAGACAGCCTCTGGAAGCCTTAGGGACCATCCCAGTATCAACTGTGTGGTACCCAAAGCAAGATGTAAATTAAGAACAGAAAACAGAAGTAGAGACAGGTTGAAATATAGACGGTCTTGAGGTCATGGGCCCTAAAGTTGAGTGCTAACTTGTAATTCATCTTAAGGAGTCTTTTTTATCCCCACATGGGATGCAGGCAGAGCTGAAGAAAGAGTGGGATCCAATACGGACACCAACACCAAAGGAGACCATGGCCATCAGTAAATTGACTCCTGGTACTCACCGGCACACTTGGTTCTTGTTCTCAGGGCTGGCCCAGGAGATCCAGTGCCACCCTCCCCTGGTCTGGTGAGAAGCACGCTGATTTCATACTCTGTGTCTGGGTCGAGGTGGCCAATTTTGTAACTTGTGGAATCCACCGGCTGCCGATCGTTCCAGCTCCCACTGGCTGTGCAGTACTCGACCTCACGAGCCACAATGGGTCCGTCCCCATTGATGGAGTTGGCATTGAGCTGTATCCACAGGTAGGTTGCTCCGACAGAGGCAAGTTGCGGTGGAGCAATGGGAACAGGTGGTTCTGAAAACAAACAAGAGAGTTATCTTTGAGGTATTTCTGTGTTCAGTTGACAAAGAACTAGACATGCATCCATGATGATGGCATAGAAGACATTACAAATTAAGCGTTGAACAGATGAGAGGGATTTTGCTTTGTTTAATAAGTGTAAGTACAGTGGTAAGGATTTACACAAGGTTCAAACCTTACCTTTCAAAAAATAATGAGGGGGGCTGGAGAGAAGGCTCAGTGGTTAAGATTGCTTATTAATCTTACAGAGGACATGAATTTGGCTCCAAGGACCCACATGGTGGCTCACAACCATCTGTAGTACCAGATCCAGGAGATCTGGGGATCTAATGCCTTCTGATATTCTATGGTGCTTATATATACATGCAAAAAGCCCACTAACACATATATAATAAATAACTCTTAAAAAAGTAACAAAGCTAACTTGAAAGAGTTAGCTACTGAGGAAAGAGGCAGGAGGTTCACTTGAAAGTTCAAAACCAATCAAGGTAAAACAAGACACTGTCTCAGAGGGGAATGAGCAAAACCAGGTACAGTCGTGGCTCAGTTGGTAGAGTGTCTTTCTAAGGTGTGAGAGGCCCTCAACTTGCCCCCCAGCACCCAGAGTGGTTTTAGTGGTGCACACCTAAAACCTCAACACCCTGAAGCCAGAGGCAAGAATATCAGAAGTTGAGAGTATTCTTCAGAGACTACACAGTGAATTTGAAGGTAGCCCGGACTACGTAAGTTACTATCTAAACACAACAAAACAGCCCACCTGACTCGATCAATTGAGTAAGCCCATAATCGGTCTCAGGACAAAATACAGAAACATATTTGACATCAAAGAAGTTGTTTCTTTATTGTACTAAAGTCACTACTGAAGCACTCTTGATAAGCAGTATCATATTCCATTGTCAGACTCCCTGCTGATTAGGGTTTTCTACATCCTTAAATTGAGTTGGCACACTCCTTTTATACCATACGTGGGATTGGTGGAGGCAGGAGGAACAGGAGGTCAAGGCTAGCCTTGGCTACTTGGGGAATTCAAAGCCACATTCCCTTATGTTTATATTCAGCATCATCTTAAAAGCAAGAATGAAGTCATAGTTTATCTCTTCAAACATCCATTTTCCGAGGTGACTCACTTTCCCTAAAGATGACACAATGGGCTCATCTAACTGGGGGAGAACTGAGCATACAGATTACAAAGTCCTACTGTCTGCAAGGTATGAGTTTTACTAAAGTCAGAGTAGCAAAGGATGCTCAGAATCAAAGAACACCCTACACCCAGCTCGATAAAAATTAAAGGCGTCAGTAGCAAACACCCCCTCCAACTGGAGAGTCTCCTGGCCTGTGGCTGGCTGTTTTCCTCAGCATCTCTAAGAGTGGGGAGGCTGGCCATCTTACCTATAAATTACCTCCCACCTTATTAATTCGACACCAGATGACTGTCCCTCTGGGTACCAGATGACAGAATTCTGCATGCCATTGACACTCTAAGTGGTCCCCCACGTGATGGATGAGATCATGTAAGAAAATTCCATATTTTGTACCGAAAAGAGCTGTCACCCAAGAACAACCTAAGCTCTTGTGGTTTCTCTTCGGGTGTTTTCTACAGGAGAGGTTGGGCTTTTTTTCAGTCTCTCCTTCTCAGTTCCTTGTCAAGCTCACTACGCTGCTACTGAAATAGGGCACAGCCGCACATGCTCACTACAACTTCCCCTGACCTCTCAGGGGGCAGACAAGGCCAATCAGTTGCAGCCCTGCTTCCTGCTGAACCAGACTGAAGGAAAGGTAGTATCACCTGGGGCATGTAAGGTGAGATCACCACAGGTTGATCCTTAAACACCACTCCTCGACACCAAAGAAACCAACATCACTTCTTTGCTTTCTGTGGGGAGGAGGTGTCTTTGATCTTTTCCATATTCAGATAAAGTGCCACTGACTGGAAAATAGCTCATTAGGATACATCACACCAAGACCTCATATTTTGAGTGAATTTTAACTAAGAGACTGTGAATGGGATATAAATGTACTAACATATTGAAGTTTTATTTTGAGACAGTCTCTTTTGCTAAGTTGCCAGGCAGGCCTTGAACCTGTGACCCACCAGCATTAGCTTCCAGAATTACTGGAATACAGGCCTTTGCCGCTAGACCAGACTAAAATATTTCATGATTCATGTAAAGAAATGCCACAAAATGAATTCTAAACCAGGAATGAGAACTTGTGGATATAAACACATTACATAGCTTTAACTGCTACCCCAAGAATGACTAATACATAGATATTAGTATGATATTTGATTATATGGAAATTATACATGAAATATATATTTCAAATGAATCCAAGATATTGTGTATCTCCCACAAAATGTTTTCTAATGCCATTGTAGTGGTATATTATTTGTATTTTGATAAATCTTGCCTAAAGACCAGAGGCAAAGCTCCAGCCACCAGAGGGCTGGCAATGGTGACACACACCTTTAATCACAGGATTTGGGAGACAGGGACTGATGGATCTCTGTGAGTTCAAGGCCACCCTGGACTACACAAGTTCAATAGAGAAACAAATCCAGGTAGTGGTGGTTCACACCTTTAATCTCAGTCCTAGGGAATCACATGCCTTTAATCCCAGAACTAGAGGGAATATAAAATGGGAGAAGAGAGAGGCTTAGGCTGCTTAGTTTGGAGTTGCCCAGCCTTGGAGAGCTAAGACTTCTCTAGTGGCTTGGCTGCTTTGCTTTTCTGGTTTTCGGGTTGAACCCGAATTTCTGTCTCTGGGTTTTTATTATTCATACTACATGCCATGGTACGCCACGTGCAGACAGCGACAAAAAAAGGACCCGGGCTTGGCTTAAGGAGTTGATTTCCCATGAACATCTTCTAAAGGGGATTTATAAAGCTTTTACACCCCGGTTTCCCCATCTGTAAAACTCTAGCACCCCAACTCATGTATAACTGACTACAGGGTGTTCAGTTATACATGAGTTGTCTGGAATTATTACTGTGTATTTTAACTTTTTTTTTTTCTGAAAAGGTAACATCACTAAAGTCGTAGACTCCCATAGATTATCCCTGATATTTGTGCCTGAGCCAGTGGCAAAGGCCTGCACTATAGTTACTAGTGAGGCAGGAACGCGTCAGTTGCAGGTTCAAATCTAGCCTGAGCAACTGAAGTCTATGTGGGAATGTGATTATGGACATATAGATGGAGAAGGAGCCAAATCTTCTACCAGGGCCCCACACAGCAGCTGTCACCAGCAATGGCAGAGCACAGAGATGGAAGACAGGGGTAGCACGTCCTGTCAATCAGCCAGGGAACCCACGCTGTCCTCAGACAGGAAGAAGCGATGCAAACACCGAACAGAAACCCATTCATCCCCCCTTATCTATGCTTTCTCTGGCAGGCTAGAATAGTCTATGTTCCTTCTAACGCCCGACAAATTAACTTCCCCGAGGAGGCCATTTTTAAAGAAGGGACCACATTTGCAATGGATGGGAATAACAAAACAGGTGTCTTTCTCATTCCAGGGCATCAGGGCAGCAGCTGTAGCTCAGACACAAGGAGATCATCTCAGAGATGCGCACTCAGACGAGGGGGGGGAGTCAAAGAATAATAGCAAAATGAGACTATAAGGAACAGGGAGGCAGGTAAGGAGGAGGAAGAGGGGACCCTGGCTGGGAGCACCCAGGCCATTTCATCCACACTGAGAAGTCGAATTTCCCCACTACGATTCCTTGACTCCCCAGAGAACCTTCAACGGGGCAGGGTCTGTGGAAAGCTGATGAATTGTAGATCTGTTATGAATCTTAACTCTGAACTCAAAATTTCATCCAGGCGGCCTAATTCAAACTTTACTGCCCATAAAAATGCAACATGGCAAAATATATGATTCAAGTAAATATTGAGAGTATTCTCCCTTCTGCTACACATCTATCAGTGCCATGGGGAGTGGCTGTCAGGATAGGGTCCCTGTTAAGCAACAGTGTGTCTCCTAAGCCAAGCAATGGGAGACAGAAACTCCACCCGACAGGAGAGGATTTCTCAAGCCCCTGCTAGGTTTTATGACAAAGGCTATGCCTAGCCACCCTGGTTCAGCTGCAATGTGGCAGGACGAAGGGCTAAACAAATCATTTGGCATTTAAGGTTTGAAAATCTGGGAGGGGGTCCTGTTGCAGAGTCTCAAATGAAAATTACGGATACTATCTCGGGCAATACGAACACCCCCATCCTTCTCCCCACTGGGACCTGACGCCCATCCACCATCATTTTAGTTTACTCTGTACAAACATGTGCTTTCTGCCGTTGAAGTTCCCAACAGTCCTATCATTAGGTAATACTATTCTACCTATTTTATACTGAAGGCCATAGACGAAGAGAGGAGGTATACCCATGGTTTGCCTCCTCTTAGCTTATTCTGGGATGCAAACCCAGTATTCTTTACAACCAGCTGCAAAGATAAATGTGTCGCTAATAGGAAGAGTCCACCTTGACATAACTACGTTGGTGATCTATAATCAAGAAATGTAAAACAAACGTGTAAATGTAAGACACAGCCTCGAGGATGTGGCTCGGCGAGTCTGACATTCCATCCCTAGCACCGAAACATTGAAAAATAAAATAAATAAAATATGAGATATTATTTGTCTCCCCCAAGAAAAGCAGGAACGGCCTGTCACAGTTGTCTAAAATGCCAGCATGGTGCACACGTAAGTTCAAATTATTCAATCTGGCACCAAAAATTGCATTACTGGCTTGATGGGATAAACTCCCCTGCTCACAAAAAAAAAAATGCATTAAATGAGATAAAGGAAAATTATTTCCTTTCCGTTTTTTACCTCTCATCTCCCACCTTCTCGAATATAATGACTCAATTTTCCAGTCACACGGAGTTTAGGAAAAGAGAGTAATTGGGACATTATGAAGGCTAAGACAGTGTTATCAACAGGGCTTCCATGATATAATAGGGCCTTTTTATATAGACATTGCTTCATTTTATTAACCATCTTGCTATCATAAACACCCTGCCTGGTGAATATTTGCATTTTAAGTGATTTTCTATCAGAAAAAAATTTTATTCCTTAAAAAAAATTTATAGGTTGTAATCTGTATCCACAGAGCTGGCAGAAGCCCTGGTTGAGCACACAGGCACTGCTCTGCATGCTACTAAACCAACATCAATCACATACGTTTTCCAAAAGCATTGCTCACATGCAAAATGTGTACTTAAAATGCAATCCATCAATACAGCCTATCAGCCAGCTACTATTCGGAACAGACAGGGTAAGTCTGAGCATAAACAAATAATGAACAAACAACTATGTAAGCATGTCTACTTTAATAGGCTATTTGAGGGTATAAAATGCATTAAATACCTTTAACTACCAATTCCGCATAGTTTGATATCCCAACACCTCCTTCCGTACGAATCACGCAGCGGTACTTCCCAGCATCTCTCTTGGTCGTGTTGACAACATTAAATGAGGCTGTGAATCTTCTGGTACTAGTCACTTTTATCTCCTTCAGAGGAGCATCTCGGACATCAATGCCCTGTGTCAGACAGAAGCAACATCAGCGGTCATATCAAGACAGTAAGACACCTGATGGCGATTATCAATGTCACATTCAGTGTTTATCCCCATGGGCAGATGTCCCATTAATAACAGCAATTCTTCCCCATCAACAAAACAAAGACTGAAGGCTCCAAAATTAAGAGTGTAAAAAAATGTGTTGCTCATACCTTTTAAATATATTAAATTAAACGAACTGAGCAGGGGAGAAAATATACACCCTCCCCCCTTTTCACCTTTCTTTCTACAAATATTTGGTTCTTCGTAACACCTTCTCCTATATTTTTATTCTTGGCTAGAAAAGAAAATTAAGTCACCAACCAAGCTATTAGTAACCCAGTCTTTCTATGAGCAAGGAATTACCAAGAATAACACTAAAATGTATACCAGGTACAATCACCATGTCTTCAGTGATAGACCCAGAGGACTGACCCAAGTTTTATAATAATTTTTCCTACAAACACAAAATCCATGGACGTGGACCTGATAAATACCTGATTCTGAAATACAGGGAGGGAGCTGTCTTTCTGTACGTTCTGTGCCCCAGTTCCCATGAGGCTGCTTCTACAGTGGGGAAGGTTTGTTTTTAATTATCCCTATACAAGAAGCCAACATTTTATTTACAAAGTCTTGGAAATCCAATCATTGCAAGGGATGAAAGCAAAAAAGGACATTGACAAATTCAGTTCTGATGTAGGTGGGTCATCTGTCTATGTGTTATTTTCATTGGTTAATAAAGAAACTGCCTTGGCTTTTTGATAGGGCAGAATTTAGATAGGTGGAGTAGACAGAACAGAATGCTGGGAAGAAGGGAAGTGATTCAGATGCCATGGAGCCAGCCGCCAGGTCAGACATGCTGAATCTTTCCCGGTAAGCCACCACTTTGTGGTGCTACACAGATTATTAGAAACGGGTTAAGTAAGATGTGAGAGTTAGCCAGTAAGAGGCTAGAGCTAATGGGCCAGGCAGTGTTTAAAAGAATACAGTTTCTGTGTTCTTATTTCTGGGGCTAAGCTAGCTGTGCGGTAGCCGGGCGGGACGAAAAGCAGGCCTGTTTGCCTCCTCACTACACAGTTCTGTTTGTTTTTAATAAGTCTTGGGAAATCTGTTATCTTCTCTAGACTATTTACATTAGTAGAAAACAAAAGACCAAGATCAAGAATTATGTCTGATGCCAAGTCCTATGTCCGTCCACTATTCATCCAGAAGCCATGTTTGGAGTACCAAGATGTGCTATTATAAAATCAGACATCCAGGGTTGAACACTGACTGGTGGACATCCACCAATGATGGTCTGAGGGGAGAAGGGAAGGACTAGTGTCTGGCAGAAGTCACAGAGGGGAGCAGCTGTACATCATACTGTGGATATGAGGAAGCCGTGTGTGCCCTGAGGGTAAACAGGAAAGTATCCAGACAAGGGGGTGATTGAGGGAAGACCATTCTAGTCACACAAACCAGAAAGGGAAGCCCGATGTCATTAGAAAGACTGGCTGGAGTGAAGGTAGCAAGAGGAACTTGGATTTGAAGGCTATACATTAAAATGGTTTCCTTTCCTGCTATACAAATGCAAGGCTACACGACAATAAAGCCCACCTGCGTGGTTCAATGACTCACACCGCACTAGCAACCAAACAAAACAGCATTTATCTATGATACTGTGGGACAGTCAGTCTCAAGCAATGGGAGTTTGGGGATCAGCCTCACTCGGGTGCTAAGCAAAATGTTATCCTTAAAGTGATGGACCTTCGCAGGGCTCCACTTTCCTTCCCTAAAAAAAGAAAAGAGATGATTCAATTCACTGTCAGGGCCATTGTCAGACATGCGTGATGTATGCGAGGTCACTGACGTAAAGACTGGCATCACACATCCCCATCCGAGCTCTGGGCAGAATGAGCAGTGAATTCCAGGAGGGAAGTTGTCAGGATGTCAAACCCCACCTTTGTTTCTGATACGCTGGGGGCTGCAGCCTCAGACCACAGTGTGCAGAAACAGACACGCACTCACCCAGTCACTAGCAAAGCACAAGGCCCCCAAGTGTTAGGTGCTGCTGTAAAACACACAGGATGGAGGAACAGGGTTCCCAGAGCACTTAGCTTCCCAAGGACCGGTTGAGCTACAAGCTCTGTGCCTCCTCCTAGGCTGCTCCGGCTTGGACAGGGAGAATGCAGTCAGGAGTGTTGCATTAACAGAGTTCCTGCTACTTAGGAGGAAACATTGGGAGTGGGGAAGAATGGTTCCACCCGCATTATGTTTGGCATTGGCTGTAAAAGCAGCTTTATTTATACCCTAAAAGGTTAACAAATCAAAATATAAATTCTGACATGTCTTGAATTTGTGTGTTTCACTAAATTTAAAATCCTTTATCTAACCAATAGCACCAAAGGATTAAAAAAATATGACATGTCTCGATTTGTGTGTTTTACTAAACTTAAGAATTTAACACCAAAAGATTAAAAAAATAAAAAGAAACACAGCGAGAGTTAGCATTACCAATACATCCAAGAGGAAGAAATTCTCTCTGAATTCCATACATGTAATCTCTGGTAAAACCTCATAATCAAATAATGCTAACAGAAGAGACCTGCTACTTACAGCCTTTAAAATTGGAATGTTGCATTTTTCAAAGTGAAAATAAAATCTAACTTCTTGTTAATGAGCAAAATAGTAAACCTTACTGAAAAACTAGCGGAGTATTAGTAAGCATTTATTTACTTACAGGGTGACAAAAATGGGCCAGGGGATTGTCGGTTTTGTTGACTTAAGTATATGCCCATAAGAATAAACATGTTTTAAAAGTTTTATTTATTTATTTTTCACTTCAATAACAATCCTGCAGCACTGTTCCTAACAGAGGTGCACAATGATCCCTGATCATAGCTTAGAGCTGTATCGTGGGTCAAAGGGAAGGACCCCCTTTTTGCATTAATATTTCTGCTAGAGAAGCAGCCCTTGGGAGCCACTCTGCCTTCATGCTACAGTGTTACTGTGTAAAACACAGAGCTCCACACAAGGCCAGGGTATCCATGAACTCTCAGAAAAGAATCTTTAAACAAAGACCGCACGTACTTTCCATAGGGTATGGAACCCTGGCTGCTCCTGGGACTGGAGAGGGAGGGGGAGTGGAGGGAGGGAAGGAGGTAGAAATTTTCAATAAAAATAAATTAAAAAAAGAGGAATTAGATTCTTCGCTTTGTCATATGCAAGAGCTAAGTCTAAATCAAGCACCCAACCCCGGAGCTAATACTACAAACCAAGGGAAGACTTTAATGATCTGAGATCTGGCCCTGGTTTTCTTAACTGTGATGCCAAGATCATAGGTCCAAAAAAAGTAATCAGGACTGGACCAAAACCACAAATTTCGGCGAGCGGAGCCACTGCTGTACAAGCTTTAGAACTGAAGTTCAGATCCTCAGGGCCCACACAGATGACAGTGGGGGTGGCAGCCCACCTGTAATCCCATCCCCAGGACACAGGGACAGAGAATCCCTGCAGCGAGTGGAAAAGCCACAACAGAAACAGAGCTCTAGGTGCAGTGAGAGGACCCTGCCTTGATAGACAACAGGAGGAGCAATCAAGAAAATCATCTAACATAAATCTTTGGTTTACACACATATAGCCACACCCATGTGAACACACAAATACCCATGCACACATGTGTATGCAAGCAAAAAGAAACCATCAAGAAAGTAAAGTCCACAGTGTGGGGAAAGATTTTGTAAATCACATAGCTTCATCACAAATATTAAAAATTTCAACTCAAGATTGGGCAAATTGATGTTTATCTAAAGAAGAAATACAATGGCCATTTAGCGCATGAATGATGTTTGGCATCATCTGCCATTAGGGAAATGCAAATCAAAACCACAATGCCATACTAGTTCATGCTAGGTAAGACAGTTTATTGTCAGGTACATGGAAAGTACCAAGCACAGGATGGATGCAGGAAACTGGGACCCTTGCACATGGATGTTGGGAATTGATGTAGGTGGGTCTTCTTTCTATGTGTTGCTTCCATTGGTTAATTAATAAAGAAAACTGCTTGGCGATAGGTCAGAACATAGGTAGGCGGGGAAGACAGAACAGAATGCTGGGAGGAAGAAGGCAGTGAGGCAGACGCCATAGCTCTCCTCTCCGAGATGGACACAGGTTAGAATCTTCCCGGTAAGCCACCACCTCGTGGTGCTACACACATGAATAGAAATAGGTTAATCAAGATGTGAGAGTTAGCCAATAAGAGGCTAGAACTAACGGGCCAAGCAGTGTTTAAATAAATACAATTTGTGTGTTGTTATTTCAGGTAAAGTCAGCAGGGAGCAGGGCAGCGGCAGGAAGCGAACCACAGCTCCTTTCACTGCAGGGAATGATGGGAACATTGTGGAAACATCACCATCCTACAAAAAGCCAAAAATAAAATTACCATAGGACCCAGCAATCCTACTGTCTGAAGGGGAGAACTGAAAGAGGCTCTCAAGAGACTTGATGCTATTGGTCAAAGCAGCACCAGTCACAGAGGTTAACATGTGGAAGCAATCTCACTTTCCACCAATGGGAGAATCAATGAGCAAGGTGTCGCACACATAGTGGAATCTCATCTGGCCCCAGAAAGGAAGACAATTCCGGCACTGCTACAGTGATGAAGGCTCTTATGATGTTATATTAAGTGAAATGCATTAGTCATAAAAAGCAAACACTGTATACTTACACTTGTGTGAAAAGGCATTTTAGAAACTATATAATCTTATCAATTAGAGATAAATATCGTTATTACTTTAATGTAGATTTTTTTTCTCCCATGTCAGGTTTTATTTAGTGAAGTAAAAATCTAAAACGATGGCCCAAACCATACAGACAAGTTTATATCTTTCTTTAAACATTCGGTAAGGTCTGCAGACCTTTTCATATTTTATATATTATTAGATAGCTGATGAATAAAACATACATATAATAAGAACTTTGGTTATGAGACTCCAAATATTCAAC